CATGGGGCAGGGATCTCTAGCAGGAGGGTCTCTGCCGATTGCAGTCAACTAAAAACAGGATTGGGGACTTCAACAGCAGAGTCCGAGGGAAGGGGTAGGGACGGTTTTATGGCCTGCAGCATGCGAGGGGGTCAGACCAGATGATCATAATGGTCCCTTCTGACCTTAAAGTCTATGAGTCTATAAGTAAAGCCAGGTGCATACACAAATAAGAGGATAATGCTGGTTTATTAGTAACGCTCCAGAAATTCACTCCATACTCTAACTGTAACAGCTCATGCAACTGGCTCACTCTCAACAGAATTGGGATTCTTAGGTTACAACACAGCAAGTAACACTTTCAAAAGTGCCTAAGTCCCACTGACTTTCAATGAGACCACAGGCTCCTAAGTGTCCAAGTCACTTTTGAAAATGAGACATAGGTGCTTTTGAAAATTTTACTGAGTGACCTTAAAAAGGGACATATCTTCATAACAGGTTGAAACAATGCCATGTTACTATCTACACTGGTCATGGAAACTACATGCGAAATAGAAAGATCCCTCTTGAGGATGGCCAGAGGGCTTGGCATACAGGGTCACAGAATGGGAAACCTGGATTTGAGATTACCTGAGGGCTTTTCCCACATCTGGATTGCAAATGCACCAGAGGGCAAAGCTGTATCACTTGTACCCCCACCCTAGCAAATGACAGGAGCAGAACTAGTCACAAAAGCAACTGAGCTACTTCACTTGTAGAGCGGGGATCTCTATGCAACACAGGTGACCCTCAGAGACGATAAGGCAAAGTGGAGTCAAAGGCAGTCAGAATGATAAAAACCACAGAACCCCATTCAAACTGGCCCCATTCACAGAGTGGCCTTTGTTTATACTCAAAAGCATGAGAAAGGCAAAAGAACAGCTACACCAAGATATCTGGGGATACCAGAAGAGCTGTCTCAAGTGAATACTTTAGTCTCCTGCAAACTGCAGTTTTCACTGTTTTATTTGTGTTTCAAAAATATCAGACTAAAACTAAAGCTCCTGTGCAAACGCCAACTGTGGGCTCTGACAGACTGGTTAGTGTGCATTAGAGGCTTTACCAGCTATGTCAACCATGATAGCTTACTTCAGCTGCAGTTCATGCAGCCACCACCGGATTTTAATTCTCTTCACCTGAATCCGAACTTCACCTTGCATAGGAATCATGACAAAGAATCACGCACAAGCTCTGACTGTAGGCAAAGCCACAGAGTGCAAACATGCTCCAACACTGAGACCTTGCTGCATTATGATTGGGCTTTCAGAATTAGCATTTTCAGCGACATTTTTTTATACTGAGTTTATAACTATATGCCACAAAATGGCAATAATAAACCCCCCCAGAAAAGAGTGACAAACCTCTTCTCAGCTCTGCAAGGAAACATCTTCCTTTAACACACAAAAGGGTTTGGGTTTTGTTTTCTTAAAAAACAAATGAACAAAACAAAATGACAAGCACCAGAAATTCTGCAGTAAGAGAGCTCTTTCAAAGATCGGATACACATGGGAGTCTTTAGCAGGAATTACAGAGAAAAGAAGAACCATGACAGTGCCTCAAGGGCTTGAGATTAGAGTAGGTAACCTCAGGGACTATAAGGGGAAGGGAAAAGCAGAGATAAGGCCTGAGAAGGCTCGTTTGTCCAACTGAATCATACACTGTATGCAGCATTGTTGTAGTCATGTCAGTCCCAGGATATTAGAGAGACAAGGTGGGTGAGGTAATATCTTTAAAAAAGAGCTCTGCGTAAGCTTGAAAGCTTGCCTCTGACCAACAGAAGTTGGTCCAATAAAAGATATTACCTCATCTACCTTGTCTCTCTGATTTAATCATAGTGAGAATCAGAAAGACTATTATAGCAAAAGGTCTCTGTGGATTTTCCAGTACAACCCCTGCTTTGTGGGAATA